CATCCAAGATGTAGATGAGTTTGTTTCTTCATCAGATTTAGAGAAATGTAGCATTGCATCACTTGCTCAGCAATGGATCCTCTGCAGTGAATGGGTGCCGTCACAAAAACACATAAACACACACAGCGCGTTCACACACCAGCCTGTGACGCTTGAGCAAAACTTGTTAGAGTAAGTGAGTGGATTCTGTCTGACAGCTCGCGGCGCGCGCGTGTGTGTGTGTGTGAGTGTGTTCACTGGAGTAGAAGTGAGCAGATCTCTCAGTGGCAGATCAAATCACAACATCTCTCCTCTGAGGAGCCTCGTCCCTCGCTCTCTTCTCATTCTGTCCTCTTTTCTTGGTTCTTCAGGAGAGAAGTGTGTTTCTAAGTGCCATTATGCCATGGCATCTCTGGGCACCTCCTTTGTGCAAATCAAATTCGATGACATCCTCTTCTACGAGAACTGCGGCGGCGGGAGTTTCGGGAGCGTGTATCGCGCCCGCTGGCTCTCGCAGGACAAAGAGGTGGCGGTGAAAAAGCTTCTGAAGATTGAAAAAGAGGTGGGAGTGAGAGTCGCCCGAGCTTTTCATACACATGCTTTAATTGTCAGTGTGATAATCATTTTAATTGCCTCTCTGTGTGTCGACTCCAGTCCGGGCAGCGCGATTACGCAGAGAGACGCGCGCTCTCACAGCGGCTTTTGTGAACTGAAATTCATAGACTATGTCTTTAAGAGAAAATTGTCACGTAATTAAGTCATATTAGTTTCAGCTGAATGCAGTGTTTGTCTTTGGGGTGAAGTCTATTTACTTTTAAGTGCTAGAGTCATTATTGTCTTTGTTCTTCGCGTAGTGATTTTAGAGCGTAATGGCTTTGGTAGCGTTTGGGATTGTATTGTATTAAAAATTAGTTTGATGGAGGAACTAACTGCCTAAAAAGTTAGTAAAATCACTACTGCTTTCAAACGATTAATTGCGATTAATCGCATCCAAAATAAAAGTTTTTGTTTACATAATATATGTGTGTACTGTGTATTATATTTATTATGTATTTATTTATACACACACACACACATGCATGTATTTATTTAAGAAAAATATGATATGTTTATATATTAAATATATTTATATATATATTATAAATATTATATGAATATAAATTGATACATGTAAATATTTTCAAAATATATACATGCATGTGTGTGTATTTATATATACATAATAAATATACACAGTACACACACATATATTATGTAAACAAAAACTTTTATTT